TTAATTGGAATGGAGAAAGTGATTATAAAAGAACAACTGAAAGTTTTATATTTAATATAAGTAATAGAAATGATATTAATACTGCACAATTTAGCTATGTTAAAAATTATTATTATTATCTGTATGCAATTTATTGTAGTCCCTCTTGTTTACCTGCTTTTGGTGGTGGTTGTGACATTCGATTTCATACAGATAGTCATATTTCTAGTAATCCACGTACTTATAATAACATTAATATAGTAAATTATAGTAAATTTGATGAATTAGAAGTTTTTCAAATAATTGATAAAAAATAAAATAATCAAATTAATCTTATTTTACTATTACTATACTATACTTGATACATTACTGTTATACACTAATTTTTATGACCTATAAAGACAAATGATAATAATAATAATAAATAATGGCTGCTCTTATGATTGTGGTAAACCTTCAATTTTTTTCTTTGTTTATTTAATTCGTTTTGTTTTTTTTTTTTAATCATTAACTGTTTTTCACTAGATAGGCATTTATTTCAAGTCAAATATATTTTTAAAGCTGTTAGGAAAGGAACTTGTGCTATATTTATATCTTTATTGTTTATATAATGATTCATTCGTAAGAATTTTTTTAAGAAATTAAAACTTTCATTAATTCATTTCATGGTTGTTCTTGATGTTGGAAAAAGAAAAAAAACAGATCTTAAAATTAGAAGATTATGAAAGATTGTCATGGCATTTGTTGGTACAGAATTATCAGTGTTGTTATTATTGTTGATCTATGTTTTTGGGAGTGAGGAATTATAAATAAATAATAAAAACAAGCATTAAAAATATATTCCTAATGAATGTAAAAGGTCTTAGTACTGATGCAAGATCCTGTAATTGTTGAATATATTGCACAATACATTGCAGATGTTCAACAGGTATGTGATGTAGTATTTATATTGATTAAATGTTAAATACTTTGAATAAATATTGAAAAAGGTTATAGTTGATGAGTATGATATTAGTAATATATAGTAATAGGAGGTAAGAATGACTGTTTATGTTGTATTATTATTCAAAATTTTTTTTGATTGTTGAAAATACAGTAATTTTTTTATGATCAAAATTTTTTTCTAAAAAAAGCTTTCTAGTGTGTGTTTCAAAAAGAGGTGCATAAATTTATTTTGAAATAAAAAAAATTGCATTTGTTTAGAAGATAAAAAATGTTTACGTGATATTACATTGCCATTGATGCGAAATTATATTTTACATGATGAAAAATAATGTTGAAAGAAAGATGCCAAAAATGTTGATGAATTGAAGAGATTATTGGTTGAAGAATGGGAAAAACAGATGTGAATTTATTTAGGAAAAAACAGGGATAGAATTTCTTATTTATTTTTAAAGTTATTGAGATATACAAGTTTTTTTTACTTGTCAAATAATACATGCATTAAAATAATTGTTTTGTAAACTTTATTTTATTTTTTATCAATTATTTGAAAAATTTCTAATTCATCAAATTTACTACAATTTACTATATTAATGTTATTATAAGTATGTGGTTCACTATGAATATGACTATCTGTATAAAATCGAATGTCATAACCACCACCAAAAGCAGGTAAACAAGAGTTACAATAAATTGCATACTGATAATAATTACTATTTTTAACATAGCTAAATTGTGCAGTATTAATATCATTTCTATTACTTATATTAAATATAAAACTTCCATTTGTTTTTTTATAAGCATGTTCTCCACTCCATTCAAGTGGATTATAGCCACCAATTATTTGATCTGAATTTTTTATTTTACCAACTACAAGAGTTTTGTTGATATTATCACATTTTTCATGAAATGAAGCTGCATTTAAACCATCTTTATTACTATTATATAAAAGTTTAAATTCATATTTAACTTCTCTGTGTGAGTTATATGATGGACTTTTTTTATCTATCCAACTTGCAAAAAGCAATGTAAGCTTTTTATTGATTGTCATTGATTCAAGCTTTGGAAGAAGTTTTATATTTCTTGATGGCAATAAATTTAATGATTGTTGTCTATTAGGAACTAAATAGTATTGTAATAGGTCATCCCAGAAAAACTCATCAAGAAGTTTCCGATAGGGTACAAATTTATCAAAAAAATCATCTTTAGAAATATCCTGAAATCTTATTAGAGGAATAAACTCTTTTATTGTGTTGCCTAAATCAACAAAATTTTGTGGTGACCAATATTTAATATCATTGTTATTGATTTCTGGGTGTCTTGATAATCCCCATTTAAGAATATTTTCCCAAATAACTATTTCATCAACAGAAAAATTATCTCTTTTGAGAATTTCCAATAAAATTGGTTTTTCCAATAATTCAAATTCATTTGACTGAAATAATTTTTCACTGTAATCACAAAATTTTTTTAAATAGATATTTTTCAATTCTTTAAATTTTTCATTAGAATAAATCAATTGTAGAATTTTAACTGGATTTTCTTTTATATAATCTTCATGTTCTTTAATAAAATAATTCATTGTATATTCATAAAGTGATTCAAGTCCAAGTTCATCAGCTGCATCCAATATTTCTAATATATCAAATCCATTAAAACTGTCTAATTCAATTTTACATGTATACAAAAATCTTTTAAAAATAAATAATTGTTAATAAATAATATAAAAAATAATAAATAACACAATAATAGTTTAGTTTAAACTTTACTTGAGGATATGTTTGAAAAGTTTTTCTTCAATATTGGCTTTTTGAATAATATAATAACCATTTTCTTTTGTTGCATTACTTAATGCAATGCTAAAGAATGGACAATGAGCACATATGATGGAGGCATGTGCATGGAATTCTTTTATGTTTGGTTCTACACCTACACATATTTTTACATCATAAAAATCCTCTGTATTTAATAACCTTTCATTTTCATTAAAATATTTTCCTATTATTGTAGAGTCCATTTTTTGCTTGTTTATTTTATTTTTCAAAAAAAAATTTTTTTATGAAATGGGAAAATCAATTGTTGTTAAATTTAGAAGATAAAAATAATTGGGTAAAGTGAACATTGGTATCACCAGTAATTTCAGGGATCAAAATTTAGTTACTAATGTCACCGATTAAATTTGGGAGAGCGTGTTTTATTTTTATTTTTGCGTGGGGATCAACGAATTGATTTTGTTAAGCATAATAATGGACATTCGTTTATCACGTCGTGACTTGCTAAATTTTATGATGATTACCCTCTAAAAAATCTTTTACAAGAACAAAATTTATACAAATCATTTTGCGAAAAAAAAATCTTCGATATTAATATATACAGCTCGAGTCATCTAAACCCGACCACTATATCAAAACCCAAATTTTTAGAATATCATTTTTAACTCGGGAAATAAAATTTCTTAAATAGGGAATGAATGGTCTTTCCTTAAACTATTATTATCAAAAGAAAGTTACTAATATTCAAATCACCATAACTTTTAAGTGGTAAATTTATTTATTTTGAAAAAATTATACAACTTAGGACATTGTGCTATGAGCTAGAAAAAAATCATAAAAAGAAAAATTATGAGAATTTTGTGTCCTTATTAAATGTAGAATGAAGTCAACAGTTCAAATTCTTTAATGAATTAATAGTTGTGATAACAGCAGCAATAATAGTAATAGTAACAAATATAATACAAGCATGGTACCAAATAAGACTTTTAACTATTCTATGGCAATTTGAATTAAAGCAACCCAAAGATTTCAATTTGTCATATAAAATATATCTGGATTTTTTAAGAAAATAGAAATCAATCAACAAAAACAGAAGTTACAGTGGTAAAAGTTAAACTAAAAAATAACATCAATGATAATAATAAAATAGTCAACCCTATACCAAGTGCACATATATTCAATATGAAGGTATGCCCATAGCAATAAATGTATATGAAACAATGTTGAAATATAATATTTTGTCAAATGTTGTAAAATTTACAATATTAATTGAAGCATCTGGTATGTTTGACGAATTAGAAAAATGTTTTAATATAATGACAAATAAATATAACATTAAATTAAATGTTAAACTTATACAAGTCTAATTAAAAATAAAAAGCTGGGTAAGTTTGGGATCAGATGATTAAAGAAGGAATTAAACCTGAAAAAGCAACTTATAAAGTGTTAAAGCATATCAATAATAATATTATTTTTCCAAGAACTCTTCAGAAAATTAAAGATGGAATATATTGGTTAGATTTAGTTAAGAATGTAGAAATTGTATACGAATTATATAAAAACTTCATAAGAATAATAACAATGGCAATGACAATTAGCATATAGATATTAATTCAAAAATTGATGTTTACTCATTCGATCATGTTCATATCAATATTTTCATTAAAATTGGTGATATGCAAAAAATCAAACCAATACTATAATCAATAGAGGATTTTGCTAAGTTGGGCGAAATCATATAATGTAAAGCCAAATATGCATCTTTAATTAAAGAGGTTATATTGGTATTAGAGAAAATGAAAAAGCAAAAAAAATTATAATGAAATGTATTGAATCTGATAATGATATTTGTATTATATAATTCAATAATAATTATTAAATAAATAAATACAGATTGAAAAATTAAAGTCATTTATATATTATATAACAAGTGAGAAGAACATGATGAATATTGTCTATATAATGCTATGATCTCTCCTACCTTTATAAAAAAGTGGGTAAGAATATATGATTATGAGTGTGTGATTGTTGATGATGATAATGATAATGATAAAATTACATTAAATTAATAATATAAATAAAAGTAGGAAATAGTAATATTAATAATTATATATAAAATATTTTTTTCTTTTTAAAAAAATCAAACAATTTTAGCATAAACAATATCCATTATTATTATTATTATTATTATTTAATTTTTGTTTGTCCTGATATAAAGATATATTATTATTTGTTGGGCCAATTTTTTTTTGCCATAAATTTGGATCTTCAACAATCTAAAGGATCATTATTAGTATGATAGTATGATTAATTATTAAAAAAATCTAAATATTCAATATAATCTATAATAATTATAATTACCTCCTTAACAAGTTCAGCAAATGCTTCTTTCACGCCATATTTTGTTTTAGCACTACATTCTATATATGATGTTTGTAATTTTTTTGCATATTCTTCACCTTCTTTACGTGAAATTGCCCTTCCAGCTTCCTAAATCATAAATCATAATTCAAAATTCAAAATGGATAAAAATATTAAAATGGAATAAATCATCACAAATTATCAAAATCAATGATTAATAATTTAATTTATTCTATCTATTGTTACCTTATCTATCTTATTACCAATTATCATTTTTGCTATATTTTTATTTGAGCAATAGGTATTTAATTCATTAAGCCAATTATCCAATTGATCAAATGTCTCACGAATTGATACATCATAAACTAGAAAAAAGAAAATATTAATGATTTATAAATCTCATTAAATAAGTCATACACACAAATATAGCATACATGTATGTGTGTGTGTGTGTGTGTGTGTGTGTTATATCTACCACATACCCAATATAACACCTTGAGCACCACGATAATATGAAGATGTTAGTGTTCTAAAACGTTCTTGACCTGCAGTATCCTAATATTAATATTCACAATAATTATAATTATAATTGTTATTTAAATATAGAGAAATAAAATTTTAACAAAAACAATCAAATTTTACTTGAAAATATTTTAATCAAACAAATACCCAAATTGTTAATTTATATTTCTTTTCGTCTACAACTATTTCATGCACTTTAAAATCCACCCCTATTATATAATCATTTTAATCAATAATCGTTTATTTAAGATAAACCTAGATTTGTTTTATAATTACCTATTGTTGCTGATACCTCATCATGTGGTAAAAATGTGTCATCAGTAAACCTTAATAGAAGAGATGATTTTCCTACGTTTGAGTTACCAATAAGAAGGATTTTAAATGTTGCAAGGTAATCATTCTTATTTTTAATTTTAATAGACATTGTTTCAAAAAAAATTTATCTTTTAATGAATTTTAGTTGTTTGTTTTTTTTGTTTTTTTTAATTTTTTGAAAAAAAAAACGAATAAGTCTTGGTTATTATTAATATTAATAAAAGTTATTTTACTTGTTGGCTTTCTTGCTATATATATATATAAATACATATTTTGATGATGAAACATAATAAGCTTTTTTTTATATTGTTATTTTTAATTAAAGTTAAAAACCGAAAGGAAGGATCATCATTTCGTCATGTCATTTATCGTACAACACAAATAAAAATAGTCATTAGCCGAATAAGCATTTTTATTTGGGATCCCCCTTAATATTTAATTTAAAAAAATTCATGCGATACATTTTTTCCTTTAAAAAGTCCGTGCTACACTATGACCCTGAGCGATAGTTTTATATAGTAAGTCTCGGCATTGACTTTTAAAAGAGCCTATTATTGTTTAGGGTATGGTTCTAGCCATATTTGGAAATTATACGTAGAATTATTCGCATAAGTGATGCACTCTATAGTTCCGGAGTTTTGCAGTAGTTTTTTACAAATGTACAAATGGTTCCATTTTATATACATACAACAAATAAAATATGATTTTTTAGTTGTCAACTTCATTACTTCATATTATCTATTTACAGGAATCTAAATAATAAGGTCGAATGATTCGTTGAAAGAAGTTAAAATTAATTACGACACAATAAATAAATAAAAAATCGTATAACAGCAGTGGCAGTGACGATTATAAATTCATGATCCATCATTCTAATTAATATAATAATAAGAAACAAGATATCGTTTTAATAGAGTCTAATATTATGAAATTTTTGTTTCAAATACTGTCTATTTGCATAGGCCTCAAAAAACTAAGTTGCACCAACGTATATATATATCTTTGATAAACATTTAGTATTAGGCATTTCAATTGTCAAAATATATACATAAAGGTCACTTGATTTGCCGTAATGCCAAAACATGTTGAAATTCTAAATATTTGTCGAAAGTCCAATTGATGTTGAATGTCTAAATTGATGTCAAAATGTCTAAATATGGCCAAATGTTTAAAGATTGACGAAATCTATAAACATACAGTACATTAAATATGATTTAAATAATATTGACTATTTGAAAGATACACCACTAATGAACTCTTTGTTCCTTATATTGAATTAATATTCTTCATCAAGCAGTATTTATGATATTCTGGGCTGCTATATGGTTGGGAAAGCTTTTTTATTAATCGTGTATACGCTTTCATTTCTTTTTATTATTCTCGGAATTGCTATGTAACAATTTTTTGTAAATATAATAATAAAATTTGTGATTTAATTTTTTTTTTTGCTTCAACTTTAAAAAAACAATAATATATTGTTTTATTACTATATTAATTTTATTTGGATTGTTTAAATAATTGAACCGTGGTTGTTATTAATCTGAAAAGAGCATATTTTAATATCATTTAATCATTTAGACATTTCAATAGCATTTATATTTTTTCTTTCTTCAAAAACAATTACTACAATTACATACAACAAGGCTTGCTTTAAGTAGTGATGAGTTGTCAGCACTCAAAAGCTATAAAGTTTGTCGATGTTTTTTGGCGAAATCGGGTTTGTTATATTTACCTTTCTCTGTTTAGTTTTTATTAGATTAGTTTACCACTAAACTTTTAGTTGTCCTTCAGAAAAATGAGTGAGGTTGGTAGTTTTATCCTTTGTTCGAAGTTCAAATTAATTGGTTGATTACCGCCGATAGAGAAACTATTTTTATTGATTACGCAAAAACATACATAACAATAGCACATTAAACTTATACTGTATGTAGCTTAGATTTTGGTGAATATTCATGTAAATTTTGATTTTTATTACTTGAGCAATAAAAAAACCCCTCCATTAAATTCGATTGTCTTAAAATAGTTTTATTTTTATTATCTTTTATTAATTACACATAAAAACACAGTTTGTGAAAATCTAGGTTTTGTTGATTCGCGCACTATAGTTTTTATTGCGTTTACATTTTTTTTTTAAAAAAAATAATATCCTTTGATCATTATATTCTTAAATTATGTTTGTGAATGTTTATAAAAGTATTTTTTCATTCGTGAAATTTTATATGGCATACTATTACAATATTCTTTGGTTTTTAAAAAAGTCATTTTATATAAAACTGATAATTTTCCTTTGAAATCAATAAATGAGCTTAAAATTATCAACAACTAGAGGTGGGGTCATCCGTCAAAACTTACGGGCCATACGAGTGCTAAACAGATCAGTTTATATTAATATATGGATTGAAAGTCACATGAATGCCGAACTTTACAATATAAACCATTTCCTTTTACAAACAACCACGAAATTTCCCGCATGGAACAGAGGTAGCAGGAATTAATAAATATTTAAAGACATATTTTTTCATTCATATGCTTAACAATTATTTCATATTTTATTTATCATATGTATTATGCAGGTTTATTAGTACTATATAGCCGAGTGCCAATTTTTCAAATCTAAAAATAGCAATGATATTCTGGTGTCATGATATTATAGAAACACATGACTCAATCATTTTGAATTATTTTATTATTATTATTATTATTATTATTATTATGAATTTGAATATTCGAATTACATTTAGAATAAATGAATAAAACGAATAATTTCGAGTTCGAATAAACGAATAAGCGAATAAGCGAATAATTCGAATAATTCGAATAATTCGATAATAATAATAATAATAATAATACGAATAATTCGAATAAGAATTTGTAATACAGAAATTTCTAATATTAGTTCGGAACATCAAAATTAGTCAAACATGTTATGTTTATTTGTTTGAACAAAAAATTTATTTATGAAAATTTGACACTCGGGACAGCATTTAATGCACTATTAATTGGGCTTTTGAATGACGATTTATGCCTAATTCAAAAGCGTAAATGAAAATCTCGATGTCTCATTTTGCATCCCCATTTATAAACTTGTTTATAATTTAATTTAATAAAATTAGTCATTTCATGATAAATTATTTTCCATAATCTGAAATCCAACGTATGTTGTTGTAATGATAATTAATAGTTAAATTTTGTTTGAGATTAACAATTAGTTAGATCCTTGACGAATAAGTTATTAATTGATGAATATTATGTGTGAAAATGAATTTACAGTTACATAACTGAAAATTAAATTGACCAATCTAAAGGAATCCCACGCTCGATACCCGCCTCAATCTTAATTTTTATGTGGACTTGGTAGATGTTGTGCAAACATTGTTAAACGGTATATATAAAAAAAAAGAGGGAAGAAAGTGCCTACCCTTTTTTCAAGCGTACGAATTCTTAAACTAATTAGATCCACTCAGATTAAAACAACAAAGGATAAAGAAAGTTTGGTACGACTTTATATCCCTTCGCGCTTTCCTTCGAAAGATAGATTCATTATATATGTAATTGATTTTTATGTAAATATTTCTTTATTAAGCTTTATTCGATTTTCAACTGCATCAAAGTATTGTTGGCAGAGGTTTATATCTTTTTTTTGTGAGGTAGGTTTGATGCTCTATTACTTGTATTAAGTTCGAATCAATTTATTCCACTGTCAATAAAGCATTTTATTATTTATTATCTAATGACTTTTTTTTAAAGAATTGCTTTTTTTTCAAAATACAATCAATTTCAAGGGTATTATTGGACTATTTGAAACCATTATTACAAAAGATTTGTTATACAAAAGCAGGGGAGCTATTGATACACTCTGTATGTTGGTTTTCACAATCTTGTCTTGAAAAGGATTTGCCGAATTTATTATAATGACCATTTTTCTAAAAAATATAAAAAAAAGAAAAATTAATTTAAATAAATAATTGGGAATACTACGGAACATCGCATTGTCTTTTGTGAGCAACATTTAGAAATGGAGTACCACCTACTTCAAATTTGGATTCTTTTTAGTAATTAATAAAGTTTTACACAGAATATTTGATATACATTAAATATATTCATACTTCCAATTAATATGTTTTAGATTTAATAAAATGTAAATAATGATTCTAATTATATTATTCAAAAACCTTATATCTGTCTGCTCATTATAAATCAGCTGTATATTTGTTATATATCTTCGATAAAACTATTATATTTTTAAATATAATAAGAATTAATAACATTAAACCAAATATATGGTAATTAAATTTACTAAATTAAAATGCTTTAAAGACTTCAATACGTAGTAAATCAATTTAGTTGTATCTCATTTTACTCTCCATTCTCTTGCATTTAACTCATAATGTGAATGTGGTTTTATTTCACCTACTGAAACAATTTAAATTTCTACAATTAAAAAACAATTCAAGATTCTGACTATTAATTAATTTTCTTCTTCTTATTATTTTACTATTAAAATGAATATATCCCGTTTATCGCGAATTGCGAATTAATTATTTCAGGAAATTTTCATGTAACCAACATAAATCAATTATTCTATATAGTTAAAAGCGTTGGAATTTTTTAAATAAGTGCAACTTGAAATCGACCCCATAATTCTAATCAATTTTGTTTATAAAGTAAATTACCACAAAGTATTTTTCTGTCAAAATTTTCTTCTAATAAAAATCTTAAAATATTTAAAATGGTTGGAATTAAAAGAGAGAACTTGGCACTTAAAAAATTTCTGTGCAGTCAAAGCAAGAAAAGCAAAAAAAAAAAAACCCCAGATAATGAAAATATAAATAACTTAATGATTAATTAAATATTTCTTTTTTAGACAATAGTGATCTGAAGATAAGGCTCCGCATGAGTCAGCTCGCAAGCCAGCTCGTGAGGAGCTTTATCTGAAGAAGACTTTGAAGAAATGTATCCATACTTTGATGAAGAACTTGAAAATATAATAATGAATTTTTATTTCAATTACTGACTAATAATATGAAAAATTATAAGGCCAAAAGGCTATTAATCTATTATGATCAAAGAGCACACACAAAAAAAAGAAAAGCATTAGCAAAAGAAAAT